CCCTAACCCTAACCCTAACCCTAACCCTAACCCTAACCCTAACCCTAACCCTAACCCTAACCCTAACCCTAACCCTAACCCTAACCTAACCCTAACCCTAACCCTAACCCTAACCCTAACCCTAACCCTAACCCTAACCCTAACCCCTAACCCTAACCCCTAACCCTAACCCCTAACCCTAACCCTAACCCTAACCCTAACCCTAACCCTAACCCTAACCCTAACCCTAACCCTAACCCTAACCCTAAACCCTAACCCTAACCCTAACCCTAACCCTAACCCTAACCCTAACCCTAACCCTAACCCTAACCCTAACCCTAACCCTAACCCTAACCCGAACCCTAACCCTAACCCTAACCCTAACCCTAACCCTAACCCTAACCCTAACCCTAACCCTAACCCTAACCCTAACCCTAACCCTAACCCCGACTGTAACCCCTAACCCTAATGCTACACCTAAACCTACCCCTAAACCTGACTGTACCCCTAACCCTAAGGTTTAGGGGTAGGTTTAGGTGTAGTATAACTGTAACCCCTAACCCTAATGCTACACCTAAACCTACCCCTACACCTAACTTGAAACCCTAACCCTAAATCTAACTGTAAGCCTAATGCTGATTGTAACCCTCTCTCTAGGCCTAGGTCCAGGTTTAGGGTTAGAGTTAGGCTTAAGGTTTGGCCTAGGGTTAGGTGTAGTCTTAGGGTTAGGTTGTGGGTTAGGTCTAGGGTTGGGGTGATGGTTATGGTTAGGGTTAGGTGTTAAATTAGGGTTCGGGTTGGCCTAGGGTTATGCGTTGGGTTGGGGTTTAAGCTAGGTTTAGATTTAGGTGTACGGTTAGGCCCAGGTGTAGGGGTAGGATTAGGGTTTGGGTTATTTATAAGGCTAGGCGTAGTCCTTCCCCTCGGGGAAGCTGTGGGGTTTGGGCTAGGGTTTGGCTTACAGGTAGGCCTAGGGTTAGGGTTTGGGATAGGTGTAAGCCTAGGGTTGATGGGTGGTTGTTTTTGTGTTGTGAGGTGTGTTTGTGTTGTTATTTGGGTGCATTTTTATGTATTTTTATTAATTTTTATTAAAAATTAATTTTATGTGCAGTTCAATGATTGTCCACAAGGTGGCAGCAGTTCGATTAATTTTCAGTTGCAATTGCGGGTTTTTTTCAGCAGGTGGCGCTGTTAAGAAGTTTTTTTAAATGCAGTTCCTGTTTTCCATCAGCAGGTGGCGCAGTTATGAATTTTTTTTAAATGCAGTTCCTGTTTTCCGTCAGCAGGTGGCGCAGTTATGAATTTTTTTAAATGCAGTTCCTGTTTTCCGTCAGCAGGTGGCGCAGTTATGAATTTTTTTAAATGCACTTCCTGTTTTCCGTCAGCAGGTGGCGCAGTTAAGAATTTTTTTAAAAAATGCAGTTCCTGTTTTCCGTCAGCAGGTGGCGCAGTTATGAATTTTTTTTTTAAAATGCAGTTCCTGTTTTCGGTCGGCAGGTGGCAGCATTTCATGTGAAATATATGTGCAATTCCTTTTCTATGTCACCAGGTGGCAGTGTTGCTATGCGATTTTTGACTTATTAGATTTTTTTTGTTTTATAACTGTACTTATTGCTGCAGGTTTTTTGGAAAATTGGATAATTGGCTTGTAACTGCTGAGTGGCTTGAAAATTTACTTGTGTATTTCAGCGAAAATTAAAATCAGGAGAAGAGCCTAAGACAAATAAAATCAGGAGAAGAGCCTAAGAGAAATAAAATCAGGAAAAGAGCCTAAGAAAATTTAAATCAGGAGAAGAGCCTAAAAAAATTAAAATCAGGAGAAGAGCATAAAAAAATTGAAATCAGGAGAAGAGCCTAAGAAAACAAAAATAAGGAGAAGAGCCTAAAAGAATTAAAATCAGGAAAAGAACCTAATAAAATTAAAAATTAGGAAAGAGCCCAACAGAAATTAAAATCAGGAAAGAGCCTACAAAAATAAAATCAGGAGAAGAGCCTAAGAGAAATAAATCCAGGATAAAGAACCTAAGAAAATTAAAAGTTAGGAACAGAGCCCAACAGAATTAAAAATCAGGAAAAGAGCTAAAAAAAGTAAAATCAGGTAGAAGAGTCTAAAAGAAATTTAAAATCAGGAGAAGGAGTCAAAAAAAATTAAAATCAGGAGAAGAGTCTAAAAAAATTAAAATCAGGAGAAGAGCCTAAGAGAAATAAAATCAGAAGAGCCTAAAAGAATTAAAATCAGGAGAAGAGCCTAAAAAAATTAAAATCAGGAGAAGAGCCTAAAAAAATTAAAATCAGGAGAAGAGCCTAAGAGAATTAAAATTGGAAGAAGAGCCTAAGAAAATTAAAATCAGGAGAAGAGCCTAAAAAAATTAAAAACAGGAGAAGAGCCTAAGAGAAATAAAATCAGGAGAAGAGTCAAAAAGAATTAAAATCAGGAGAAGAGCCTAGGAAAATTACAATCAGGAGAAGAGACTAAGAGAAATAAAAAGAGGGAGAAGTGAGTAAGAGAATTAAAAGCAAGAGAAGAGATTAAGAGCATTAAAATCAGGAGAAGAGCCTAAGAGAATTAAAATCAGGAGAAGAGACTACAAGAATTAATAGCAGGAGAAGAGCCTAAGAGAAATAAAAGCAGAAGATGAGACTAAGAGAATTAAAATCAGGAAAAGAGACTAAGAGAAATAAAAGCAAGACAAAATTAGAGGGCATTTCTAAAGCTGCAGTGCATCCCCGCTTCTCATGCTGCCTCCCCGACTCACCTCCAATGCCCGGATGCTCCCAAAAGTTACCCAGATGACACCTGCCAGCACTAAAGCTCAGTGCCTCATTGCTCATCCTTTTAAATCTCGGAGATTGCACACGAGGACAGCCCAAGATGACCAATCTGGGTCAGTCGCCCCATCGTGAGGTCATGGGGTTTCTCCAACTCAACTACAAGGAAAAAAATCATAAGTGATATGTGAGTTGTGTGGCACGGGGCTCCAACCCCAGTGATCCCCCTACTCACCAGCACCCTGGCTCTGACCGGAGTCCGACACTGTGGCTGTCACCTTCCGGGATACCTGAGTGAGTGAGACAGAAAATGAGAAGGCATCTCTAAAGCTGCAGGGGATCCCCACTCCTCCTGCTGCCTCCCCGACTCACCTACAAGGCTCCTCTCTCTTCAGCTGCTCCCAAGACCGCCCCTGCAAATGAAATGGGCAAATGCTCAAACACTCAGCCCTCCAACATTTAGGGATTGCTCACAACGAAAGACAAAAACCTCTAAACCCTAGACACTGGTTCCTACTCTACCTAGCTGGGACTCCATACACCCAAGCAGGGCATCACAAGGCCATCCTGCTCACAGACTGGACAGACTCTGAGCAATATTCTATCTACCCACTGATCCACGTAGCAAAGCAGAGCAGTTCCAGGCTGACCCCAAGTGACACACCCCACACCTGTGACAACACACACCACGTGACACAATTAAGAGACGAAGGACACAAAACACAGACGAGACAAAGGACATGACACAGACTGGAACTGCTCTGCCCGGCACACGGGAATCCAATGATAAAAAGTAAGCCCTTCCTTTGATGCGTACAAATAATCTGTTATAGGATATCCCTTGCACCGGACTAATTTCAAAAACCCTTCCAGGCAAGGCACATATACTTGCACTGACTCCCAGCCCCTCTCTGGGTCTTTGCCCTGCACTTATCTTTCCGAGAGCCGGGGATGCCAATCCAGTTTTGATGCAGACGAGGGGCACCTGGGCTGGCTCAGAGGTTCCTGCCATCGTCAGACTACTCGGAGTCAACTGCCAGAAAGAAATCCAGACACCATATGTGAGTAGTGTGGCACGTGGCCCCAGCCCCCATGACCCCTCTACTCGCTGTCACTGAGGCAGGGCCTCGGGTTGCTGGCTCTGACTGGAGTCGGACAATGTGCTGTCATCTTCTGGGATACCTGAGTGAGTGAGAGACAAAATTAGAGGGCATCTCTAAAGCTGCAGGGGATCCCCGCTCCTCCTGCTGCCTCCCCGACTCACCTACAAGGCTCCTCTCTCTTCAGCTGCTCCCAAGACCGCCCCTGCAAATGAAATGGGCAAATGCTCAAACACTCAGCCCTCCAACATTTAGGGATTGCTCACAACGAAAGACAAAAACCTCTAAACCCTAGACACTGGTTCCTACTCTACCTAGCCGGGACGCTATACACCCAAGCAGGGCATCGCAAGACCATCCTGCTCACAGACTGGACAGACTCTGAGCAATATTCTATCTACCCACTGATCCACGTAGCAAAGCAGAGCAGTTCCAGGCTGACCCCAAGTGAGACACCCCACACCTGTGACAACACACACCACGTGACACAATTAAGAGACGAAGGACACAAAACACAGACGAGACAAAGGACATGACACACACCAGAACTGCTCTGCCCTGCACATGTGAATCCAGTGATACAAAGTAAGCCCTTCCTCTGATGCATCCAAATAACCTGTTCCAGGATACCCACTGCACTGGACTAATTGCAAAAATCCCTCCAGGCCAGGCACAGACTTGCACCCACTCCCAACCCCTCTCTGGGGCTTTGCCCTGCACTTATCTTGCCGAGAGCCGGGGATGTGAATCCATCTTGGATGCACAGGAGGGGCACCTGGGCTGGCTCAGACATTCCTGCCATCATGAGACTACTAGGAGTCAACTGCAAGAAAGAAAACCAGACACCAGATCTCAGTAGTGTGGCACATGGCCCCAGCCACCATAATCCCTCTACTCACTCTCACCGAGGCAGGGCCTCGGGTCGCTGGCTCTGACTCGAGTCGGACAATGTGCTGTCATCTTCTGGGTTACCTGAGTGAGTGAGAGACAAAATTAGATGGCATCTCTAAAGCTGCAGTGGATCCCCGCTCCTCCTGCTGCCTCCCTGACTCACCTCCAATGCTCATCTGCTCCCAAAGATTACCTCGATGGCACCTGCAATCAAAAAGCTTAATCCTTCATTGCTGATCCTTTTAATACTCAGAGATTACCTACAAGGACAGCTCCAGGGGACCAAACCGTGTCCATCTCCTCATTGTGAGTTGGCTTCGGCCCTGTCAGGCTGTCTACATCTCCTGCAAAAAAAAACCAGAGGCAAATGTGAGTACTGAGATACTGCCCAAGAGTTTGCTGCCCCCATGGCAGTTTCTGTCTGACACCCCTTGACTGTGACCTCTTACAGGCAGGGTCCCCATCACGTTGGACTGCATGTTAGAAGTCGGTGCACTGCCTGGAAAACAAAAAAACAAGTATGTACACAGATCCACCACAAGTACACCGCCTGCAAAAGAGCAGCTAGTTTTGTCCTGCAGTCCCTGCTCACCTTCCTCACCGGGCTCACCTTCCCTCTGGTGCCTATTCTCTGCTGGGTCGAGGGCTCTGCATCTTAAAAAAAACCCAAAAAAACAAAACTAAACCACCAAACCATCCAAATGATCAAGTAAACCTCAGGCCAAAAGTCATGTCTTGGCTCTGACCTTACATGAGAACCCACCTTCTGACTCTGCTCCTCCAGCCTCTTCTGTTCTTCTCTGCTTTACATCCAGTCCCTCTGACACTGCAAAGAAATGAGTTACCAAAGTCAGCCACATAGACAGGGAGACCTTAACTGCTGTGCAATTCTAATTTCTCCTTAGACAAGTCCTCTGGGGTCCAAAGACAGCCTGCACAAACAAACACTGCCCTAACTTTAAGACCCTCCCCTCAGTGGCTGTGCCTATCCACAGGTTAACCAGAAAGTCTCCTTTCTACTCCACCTACCCCCAAGTCTACACTGCAGGGCAGAGCAGTTCCAGGCCCAACACAAACTCCAAGGACACATTTCCAGACAAGTGCTGTGGTGCAACCAGGAGAGAGAACTCTGAGAAAGGAATGACGCCAAAATGGATGTGCTGCCGCACGAGAAGACGGAGGATACGGCGAGACTGAATGGAGGAGGCTCTGAGGAGCCTGAAAAGAGACCCTAACAGAATGGCCTGGGACAAGAACTGCCTACAAAATTGCTAAGATGGATGGGAGACAAGGCTATGTTCAGAATCTTCTTAGATTCTCACAAGTCCCGGGCGGGATGACAAGAGATGACTGCACAGCACAGCTACTGATACAACCTGTAAGGAGGCTGTAAAAGACACCTGACCTGACACTTCTCAGATGCGATTCCGATGCACGTCCAAGCTAGTAAGCCAAAGAATGGATGGTATGGGCACTGGGCTGGGCAGTGCAGAGGTTCAAGACCCTAGGAATGATGCCTTGGTATCTCAGATAAGACCTTTGAGGGCAGAAAGCAAATATGTGGTGACTGTGAATAGGAAGACACAAAACACAGACTGGACAAAGGACACGACACAGACCTGAATGGCTCTGCCCTGCACATCCTACTCCATGATGAAAAGTAAACTGCTCCTCCTATGTGTGCCAAGGGCCTCTTAGGGCAGACCCTTTCCCCTCTGCTCATTTGAAATCCCTCCCTCCTAACCATAAAACTGGACCCAGCTCTCATCCCCTCTCCAGATGGGAGCCCTCCACTTATCTTTCCCACAGCTGGGGATGTGAATCCATCTTCGATGCCAAGGAAGGACGCCCGGCTGGCTCAGAGGGTCCTGTGATCCCTGACTCGGTCGCTGTGAGACAGAAAACTGGAATTGAGACAAGAGTTCAGCAGCACGTGGGAGATAACCCCGCAATTGGCTACTCACCATCCCCTGAGCTCAGAGGTTCTCGGGCCACTGGCTCCGACCCAGTGAGGCTTGCTGCCGTCACCGTGTGCCGTTTATTTGTGTTTTCCAACCCTATATATCTATATTCAGAATTTCTTATACTCCAAGATCCTATATATAATACAGTTGAAAGTAATTTATATATTAACTAGGATTATTTTTCAATATATAGAAAAATGAGAAACATCAGGTTTTAATATTTTTTGCACAGCCCCCAATGAATTTTCAGGCGGTGTTGGGCGCTGCCGTAAAGCGTCCGCAGCCTCCACGTCGTGCCGGCACGCTGCCGTAAAGCGCGCGAAGATGGCGCGGTGACGGGTGCGGGAGCCCCGGGCCGGGCCGGCCCCGCGGGGCTGCATCGTGACTGGACGGCGAGCCCGTCAGCACCGGCGTGAGTGCGCCGGGAGCGCGGGCGCACCCTCGCGCGTTGGGCTGGGGGCGTGCGATGGGCTGGGGGGCTACAGAAAGGAGGGCCCGCGCGTGGGCAGGGGGCGGGCTGTGGACGGAGGGTCCCCGGTGCGGGGCTGGGGGCGGGGCTTTGAGGGGTCAGCGAGAGCCATCGTGGGCTGGTGATGGGGATGAACGGCACAAGGGACCCCAGAGTGGGGCTGGAGAGAGGCCTGGGGGGTGGCGAGTTCCCATAGGGGCTGAAGGGGGATGTGTGTCCAGAGACCCAGCCGCGGATTCGTGGGGAATGGGGGGGCTGCTGTAAGGAAGGGGTGTATGTGGGGCGTGGGGCTGCTGTGGGGCAGGGCTGCTGTGGGAACGGGGGGGTTCTGTGGGGGCAGGGGCTGCTGTGGGAGGAGGGGGTGGGGGGCGGGGGTTCTGTGGCACAGGGGGTTTCGGTGGGGAGGGGGCTGCTGTGGGGAGGGGCGTTCGTGGCAGGGGGGATTCGTGGGGCAGGCTGCGTGGGGAGGGGCGTTCTGTTGGGCAGGGGACATGCTGTGGGGAGGGGCGTTCTGTGGGGCAGGGGGAATTCTGTGGGGCAGGGGCTGCTGTGGGGAGGAGGGGTGGGGAGGGGGTTCTGTGGCACAGGGGGGTTCGGTGGGGAGGGGGCTGCTGTGGCACAGGGACCCCCAGTGCAGCCCCTCCCTCCCCTCTCCCCAGACCACCATCATGGCTGTGGAGTTCGATGGAGGCGTCATCATCGGGGCCGACTCCCGCACCACCACCGGGTGAGGATGGTGATGTGACATCATCAGTGACATCACCAGGGCCAGGCCCTGTCACAGGGTTGTCACCCCTGACCCCTTGTTATGGTGTCACCATGATGTCACCGTGATGCCACCCCCGAAGCTGTGGCCGTGGCCCCAGGTATCAGTGTCGCACCTGACAGGCATTTTTCATCACCAAATTCATCCAAGAATCCTTTATTTTTGTGCAGTAATTCCTGAAAAAACATCGTCAGGTTAAAGCTTGTGCACCTGGTCCCAGTCTTTGGATTTCTCACCACAGATCCCATTTTCCTTGGCCAAATCCTTTTTCCTCCTTCAGGGGGAGTTTGTGAATCCCACAGAACTGTTCCCCAGCGGTGGTGGTAAAAATCAGCTTATTAGCACAGCAAATTCCACATTTTTTAACTCCCCTCTTTGCAAAACCTGGTATTTTGGGTCCAACGAAATTCCTCTTTGCCTGAAGCGGTGACAGCTCCAGGCGTGCCAGGGGGCTCTGGCAGCTTTTTGGGGCCAACGGCTCCTTTCCAGGGGTGTCCCAGCACCTCTGCCGTGTCATGACCCTGCCTGTCCCGCAGTCCCTGCGGGATCACCTCAAACTGTCGGTGTCCCCCAGGTCCTACGTGGCCAACCGTGTGACGGACAAGCTGACCCCGGTCCACGACCGCATCTTCTGCTGCCGCTCGGGCTCGGCGGCTGACACGCAGGCGGTGGCCGACGCCGTGGCCTACCAGCTGGCCTTCCACAGGTACCCCTGCTGTGGGGCAGGGCTGGGGTGCGGGGAGGGCCCCCAGGCTGACCCCCAGCCCCACGGCCGTCCCTGCCCCACAGCGTGGAGCTGGAGGAGCCGCCGTTGGTGCGCAAACGGCCCGCGCGCTGTTCCAGCAGAGGCTGCTACGCCCACCGCGAGGAGCTCAGCGCCGCAAATCATCGTGGCGTGGACCCCGCGCGGGGTGGACAGGTGAGGGTCCTTCTGGCCCACAGTGTCCCCCCCTTTTCTCTCCTGGAGTGTCTTGCTCTGCCCTATGTTCTCTTCTGCCTCCTGGCGTCCCCTTCTCTGCCACACAGTCCCCCCCTTTCTATCCCATAGCCCCCTCCTCAGCCCCAGGCTCTGCCTGCACCCTCCTGCCCCACAGCCCCCACTCTCTACCCTATAGTGCCCTACAGCCCCCACTGTGCCCCCCCAGGTGTATGTGGTGCCCATTAGGAGGGCTCTGCCTGCACCCTTCTGCCCCATAGTGCCCTACAGCCCCCCCTCTACCACCCAGGTGTATGTGGTGCCGCTGGGGGGGCTTCTCCTGCGCCAGCCCTTCGCCGTGGGGGGCTCGGGCAGCTCCTATATCTACGGATACCTGGATGCCACATTCCAGCCTGGGATGAGCCAGCTCCAGTGCCAGGAGTTCGTCGCCCGTGGTGGGTTTGGGGGACTCGGGTGGGGGGTGGTGGGCGGGCGGAGTTGGGGAGGGTCCTGGGAGGCATTTTGAGAAGCACAGAGGAGTTTGGGGGAGTTCTGGGACTTGGGGATTTGGGGAACATGTAAGGGTGTGAGGGGGTCCTGGGAGGAGGTTTGGATGGGGCACTGTGGGCTTTGAGGAGGGTGCTGGGAGGCGATTTGGGGAGTCCTTGGAGGGGATGTGGGGGGCACTGAATTTGTGGGGGTCCTGGGAGGGGGTTGGGGGTCCCTGAGGGACTCTGGGGGTCCCTAACCTGTGTCCCCCAGCACTGGCCTTGGCGATGGTGCGGGACGGCTCCAGCGGGGGTGTGATCCGGCTGGCGGCCATCACCGAGGAGGGGGTGGAACGGACCGTCCTGGCTGGCCCCGACCTGCCCTGGGGTGACGGTGGCCCCCCTGCCTGAGAGAGGGGCCCCCCCGGGACCCCTGAACGAGGTGGGGGAGGACAAAACAAATG